AGGAACGGAGGAGAAGGAAACAGCTGAGATGGGGTGGGGGAAGAAACGGAGAAAGAAGCCTGTGCAAGCCTCCGATCGTGTAAAATATCTTCCGTATATTCCCGCCCACGCATATAACCCGCAGGGGGCCGCTGTGCATGTAAAAACCGCATATAACCCGCGGGTTATATGGGTGAAAATACGGTAAGTGTATGGAAATCAGGACTGTCAAGGGCTATCAGCTTTGGATACTTTATGCTGCCCCTAAGTTAAGGATACTAATGCCTCAAAATACCAGTTGCAAGGAAACGATGGATGAAGGTAACAAGATGGCTGCTTGTAAGTATGTCAGATGCTTTTGGTTGGCTTTTAAGAAAAATGGAGGAGTTAGAAGAGCTGCTTGGAGAGATTAAAGAGAGATTAAAACTAGATAGCCATCCATATATTAATGGTTAATACAAGCAGTTATAACAAGCTACATGGTGGGGGGGAATACTAAGAGACCCTCTGAGTCTTTGGTTTTTGGAAAACACCAATTTTTAAAAAATATCGCTGGCACCACAGTAGAATTGGATTTATTGGTCAGAAGTGTAATTTGGGAGCTCTACTTTCAGGTTATGCTGCCACCACTCCAAAATAATCCCTTTGAAGTTCTTATAGTGATGTTAACTCTTCTCTCTCAGCTCTTTTCTTGATTGGTGGCATAGCAAGTGGGGGATGGGCGGGGGATGTTATCGTCTGTCTTATTTACTCATGTCTCCAGTTCCTAAAAAGTTCCTTAAAACTTTATGATTATTTGAATGGATAATATGAGGTTTCCAGTTTAGAGATATAGAACTCTGCTTGTTTACATAATAATTTTTACTTTGACACAAGGGCTTCTCAAAGCTGCCTCTCGCCTCTCTTTTCTCTCCCAAGTTTTCTTAGCCAGGGGTGGGCTGCTACAGGTTCGGGCGGGTTTGGGAGAACTCACAGCTAACGTTATGGACAGTTCAAACCTCTAAATCCTGCCCCTTTCTGGCCCCGCCCACCCCTCCCAAGTGTCTCCACACAGCCCGTTTTGGATGAGAGGACCCGCGCGGAGGCTCGGGGTGGGGGGAAATAGCAATAGCAGTAGACTTATATACCGCTTCATAGGGCTTTCAGCCCTCTCTAAGCGGTTTACAGAGAGTCAGCATATTGCCCCCAACAAT